AATTTGTGTTGACAATTGGTTGTTTGGTTTGACTATTGCTGGTGGCCATGGTTTTATTGGATGTATCTGCTGGGTTGTCCGGGTTATCGTGGGGGTTGGAAGAGGAAGAAGGTAAGGTAATTACTTGGGAAGTGGCTGACTCAGGAGCCGGGTCTTGGTCATTAAGGGCGTCAAACTTGTTTTTAGTTGGGACAGGTGGGGAGGTAGACACAGTGGTAGGTGAAAAAGTAATGGTGTTGGGTGAGGGGGGAATAAAGTCTTCTGAAGGGGAATTAAGGTTAGGAATGAGGGTGTTTATTTCAACAGATGCAGAAGCAGGGGCTGTTGAAAGAGAGGTGGATGGTTGGGTTGTAGGAGGCTGAGGTTGAGGCTGTGGTGGAGTTTGGGCCTGCGGTTGAGATATCTGCTGGGGCTGCGGTTGAGGCTGGAAGGTAGAGGAGTTGGGAGGTTTAGGAATGTTCAGTCTAGGGGGAAGTTTCCGGGGTTTACGGCTAGTGCTTCTCCCACGGTTTTGGGATGTTTCGGTGGTCTGAGGGGTTGGGTTTTTAGGGCAGGCATTAGGGGCATGCATGATTGAGTTACAAAAGGAGCAGTGGGTAGGCTTCCAGTCGTAAAGCACAGTAAGGGGAAAGGTTTTGTCATCCACCGTGTAGTAGATCACATCAGGTAAGGGGGAGGAACTACTCACCTGGACGCACACCCGAGCAAAGGTGAGCCTCGTTTTGGCAGCAGTTAAAGCGTCAACAGCAAGCGGGATGCCGACGCAGCTCGCAATCTTTGAGATCCCCTCCGGCGTCCAGCAAGACAGAGGGAAGTTTTTAATCTTGATCCACAGGGGAATCGAGGGGAACTCCTCGCGAACAGGGATGAAATCCGGAGTCCACTTCTGAAGGATGAATGGTTTTCCAAAGAAGAACCAGGGGCCACCCGACCAGGCCATGTCAAAATCCTCCCGATTGTTGAACTTGAGCAGAAAGAACCCGTCATCTAAGGTAAGCAGAGAGAGGGATCCTTTCAAGTTCCAGGCTTTTTTGATCGTTGCGAGTAAAGCTTCATAGTACGGACGCCTTCCGATGGAGTATCCGACTAGAGAGAGGGACCATTCAGATGATCCAGCGGTGAACTGTGCGGAAGTGAAATGAGCAGTGGCGTTCTCAGTGGGGAAGTGAGTGATGGAAGAGGTAAATTCATTGGAAACAAGGGGCTGGGTAGCAATAAGGCTCTTCCAATCTTTAAGAAGGAGAGTGGAAGAGGATGATGAGGGGGTGTAGAGCGGAGGGGGGGGAAAAGCGGAGGACATCCCAGGGGAGATTCTCCCCAAGGGGAAGGCGGTGGCGGCCAGAAAAGCACGGAGCAAGCCAAACCCTAGCAGAGCACTATCGCACTAAGAAACGCCCAAAATTGTCACGTCTCTGTTATCACACTCAAAGTTTCGATTTCACAAAAGTAAAAATAAATGAAGTGTCAATCTTTCTACCAGCGTCACCATTGATTCGCACATTTTATTAGCTTTTTCTGACAAGTTACAATGATAGGCACCACATAAAAAACTATAAAAAATCATGATTCATCGTTACGGATCCGAGACGTTGATTCTACGACAGCAATGGTTTTGTCTTCTCGCAGCTTCTGCGTTTGGCAAATAATAGAGCCTCTAATGGCGATCGCCGGCGACAGGAGAAGTAGCAAAGGTGAAAAAAAAAAACACTCCATTTATTCTAAGCCACCACTCAAACAATTTAGAAGTTTAAAATGGAAGCCCGTAATTACGAATTAGTATAAAACAAGCTTTTAGAGTACCCAGCGACCTCATTTAACGCCGCCCGGTGCAGCGGCGGCGGAGACGGTGGCGGTTGTGGCGGTCGCCTTCTCCAGCTTGGTGAAATCCATGCCGTCCCCGCACTCGTAGTCATCATACCTCCTAAAGATCTCGGCCAACATGAAGCAAGCGGTTGCCACAACGTGGTCTTTGGCTGCGCACTGCTTGTTCTGCACAGACGGAGTCCCCGTCTCCGGCCCGTTCGACCAGAACAAGTAGTTCAACAGCCTCTTCCCCTCCTCTCCAATAAACCTATCAGCCACGAACTCATCTGCCCTATCAAACACCGTTGGATCCCTCATAACTATCGGCTGGTACCCGCACAAAAGCTCCCCTTTCTTCACCGGGTACCTCGCCCCTCTCGAATTCAGCTCAAAATCCTCTCTCGCGCGGCCGAATTGCAGCGGCACCGGCGGATTTAGCCGGAGCACCTCGTACACTGTTGACCACACCAGTTCCATCCCTTTCAATTCCTCAAAACCAACTACTCCCTTTTCGCTCTTGATATGGCTTCGCACTTCCTCTCTGAGTCTCTGCTTCAGCCCTGTTTTATCGCGGCCGATGGTGGTGATCAGAGCCGGGAGGAAGACGGTGAAGCCGCCGAATGCGTTGAAGCCTAACACGAAAAGGATGTTATGAATTGCCTCGTCTTTAGTAAGCCCGTACTCCTCGGCGATGGAAACGACCTCAGCGCCATGCTTGGCCACGAAATTGTAGAGTTTTTTGTAGTCGCCGGCGACGAGGAAGAAGGGGAAAGGGAAGGAGTGGAGGAAGATCTCAGCGAACGGCTGCGGCAGCGCTTGCGCGCTGACGGTTGGTAGGAGCTGTAAAGCCAGCCATTTGTCGAGCATAACAAAGCCGCCGTCACCGACCTCAGAGGAAACCGATGGCTCAACCCCAATGATGCTTTTGCAGAGGAAGGAAAAGATGCATTTTTGCAACGGGATGAAAAAGTTGGAGCTGGAATTCTGCCCTAGCTCGGATTCGATTGTCGAAAGCATTCTGCTGAGATTGGATTCAAAAGAGGAGAACCAGACGGCGGAGCTCCGGCGGAGAAGATCAAGGCTGAATTTTTTCACAGCGGCATGGCCAGGCTCGGTCGTATCGAGATAGACGCCGACACGGATATCACCGGTGAAGCTGAGGGAGGGCATATAAGACCCTACGAGGACGTTTCGTTTGTCGACGAGGGCAGGGTCGAAAAGGGAGGAGAAAGAGTCGCAGTCGAGAACGGCGACTATGCGTGGGTCGATGCCGAAAAAGAAGGGGAAGGTTGGGGGCATATTGGCCCGGAAGACGGGGCTTTTGTGAGCTTCCATGCGGCTGCGGAAGAATTTATCCTGGCCTTGGAACCAGAAGTAGTCGAGCCGATCCTTGAGGGGACCGAGGAGAGGGAAGCCATAGCTGCCGGGGATGGACCGGGTCGTGCCGGCTGCGGAGGAAGGTGGAGGTGGCGACGGGGAAGATATCATCGAAGAGCATATGGAAAGCATTTTCTCGGCTACTTGCTCCTCCTCTGCTGGTCCAGTGGGAGGGGATGTGATGATGGAGGCTCGTTTGTAATGGCAGAGCCGATCAACTTGGATAAAATCGGGGCAGGTGTCGCGGTTTGATTAGTGATAAGCGTATGCTGATTGCTCGTCTTGGGAGCTCGTGTTGCACATGGGATGGTGCG